CAGTTGATTGTCTTTGCTTCCAAAGGTCCTGCTTTTTGAAGCATCTTTCTGCCTCGAGTGACTACTGAGTTGAGAGCTAGCTTTTTCTAAGGCCACTAGGGCTGGGGTCAATGCTCATTCTGGAGGTGGCAGTCATCCCTTACAATTCAAAACAGTTTTCTCATACTTCCCAAAAGCATGCAGGGCATTGAGGCATCTATGAAATTTTACATGTAGCTCAACATCTCTTCATCTGCCTTTTACTCTCCTTGATTACATTTTGGACTGGGGGAAGGAGGAAAGAATTGGTCAGGGGTCATTACCTTGGCCTCCACCCTTTTTCATATAATATTCATTCGTGCATAAAGAACTTGGAGCCAGAGGATACCAATTGGAATGCCAGCTGTTACTTATTATCTGTGTAACCTTAGACGAATCAATTAACCTCTCTGAGCATTAGTTACCCAATCTGTAAAATGAGCAGGTTAGGTTCGATAATCACTCTCCTCTCACCCTAAATCTTACGATCTCTGAACATCCTGATTTCAGTTTTAGAGCACGCAGTTGCTCTGGATTTTCATTATCTCTCTTTCGGTTTTCCTTTTCCTTATCTGACTGTTCCTTTTCAGTCTCTTTAATGATTTCTCATCCATGTCATTCCTACTTATTGGGTGTGTGCCCCAAGACTTTGGGACCCCTTCTTGTTCTCTGTATTTTCCCCCACTTAGTGATCTCAATGGCTATCATAGTTTTAATTACCTTCTCTACACAGATTACTTCCAGATTTATATGTTAAGCTCAAATCTCTCTCCTGAGATCCAGTCCAGCATTATGAAATGAATGGACATTTCAAAGTGGATGTCCTGAAGGCATCTTAAACTCAATATGCTTAAACCAGAAATCATGATCTTTCTTTGCAAATCCACTCCTATTTTGAACTTTTCTATTTCTGTCTAGACCACCACCATTTTTCTACTCACCCAAACCCACAACCTCAGTGTCTTCCTGAATTTACATTCCCCCTCACTACACATATCTAATCAGTTGCCAAATATTGTTTTACTCACTACAATTTTTCTCACAACATATTCCTTCTTCTCCCCCACACAGCCACCACTATTGGTCAGGCATTCACTAACTCTTCCCTGTGAGTCCCTGTTACTTTTAGGATCAAACTTAAACTCCTCTGTTGACATTTAAATCTCTTCACAACCTGGTTCCAGCCTACTTTCTATCCTTAGGACACATTATTGTACTACCAATATTATATTATTGCATTGCACACATTTTCTGTGTTTCAATCATATCAGCTCCCTCACTTCCATACATATGCTAATCTCTCTCCTTCCTCTATGACTTTTTAAAACATATTTTTTAAAGATTTCATGTAAAAATAATTTTAACATCTCTTTTTAAAATTTTTGACTTCCAAATTCTCTCCTTCCCCCATCACTGAGCAGGCAAGTAATTTGATATAGATTATACATGTGCAATCTTGCAAAACATATTTCCATATTAGTCATGTTGTAAAAGAAAAAAGACCAAAAAAAGAAAAATGAAAAATGAAGAAAGTTTTAAAAAAGTATGCTTTGATCTACATTCAGACTCCATCAGTTCTTTCTCTGGTGGGGATAGCATTTTTCATCATAAGTCCTTCAGCATTGTCTTGGATCATTGTATTGCTGAGAATACCTAAGTCATTCGTGGTTGATCATTATACAATATTGCTGTTACTGTGTACACTGTTCTTCTTGTTCTGCTCACTTCACTTTGCATCAGTTCATGCAAATCTTTCCTGGCTTTTCTGAAAGCATCCAGCTTGTCCTTTCTTACGGTGAAATAATATTCCATCTTGATCATATACCATAACTTTTACAACCATTCCCCAAATCCTGGTCATTCCCTCAATTTCCAATTGTTTGCCACCACAAAAAAGAGCTGCTATAAACATTTTTCTACATATATTTCCTTTTCCTTTTTCTTTGATCTCTTTGGGATGCAGACCTAGTAGTGCTATTGCTAGATCAAAGGGCATTCAGAGTTTTATAGCCATTTGGGCATAGTTCCAAATTATTCTCCAGAATGGTTAGATCAGTTCACAACTTCACCAGCAGTTTTTCTACATCCTCTTCAATATCTGTCATTCTTCTTTTCTGTCATATTGGCCAGTCCTGATATGTGTGAGATGGTACCTCAGAGTTGTTTTAATTTGCATTTTTTTAATCAGTTGTGAGTAAGAGAACTTTATATGACCATTGCTAGCTTTGATTTCTTCTTCTGAAAAGTGCCTGTTCAACTACTTGTTGACCATTTCTCAGTTGGGGAATGGCTTGTATTCTTATAAATTTGACTCAGTTTTCTATGTATTTGAGAAATGAGACCTTTAGCAGAGAAACTTACTATAAATTTTTTCAGAGTTACGATTACTGTGTATTTTCCTGCATCCTATCCCCCTCATTTATCCTTTTCTCTCTCCTTTTACCCTGCCCCTCCTCAAAAGTGTTTTGCTTTTGACCACCCTCCCCCAATATGCCCTCCCTCAATCTACTACTTTCCACATCATTTATTTTTTCCAATGAGATATTTCACATTTTATTTTATTTTTTCATTCTTTGGATTTTGTTTTATTGTTTCTTAATGTCTCGTGGAGTCATTAGCTTCTACTTACCCCATTCTACTTTTTAAGGCATTCTTTTCTTCAGGGAATTCTTGTACCTCTTTTTCCATTTGGCCAATTTGACTTTTTAATGAGTTCTTCTCCGGTGAATTTTTATACTTTGTTTTTCTACTTGGTTAATTCTGCTTCTTAAGGAATTCTTCTTTTCAGTGGATTTTTGTGCTTCTTTTACCATTTGGAATATTCTATTTTTCAAGCTGCTATTTTCTTCAGTATTCTTTGTACTTCCTTTACTAAACTGTTGACTCTTTTTTCATGACTTGCATCACTCTCTTTTCTTTTCCCAATTTTTCTTCTACCTCTCTCATTTGAGTTTTAAATTCCTTTTTGAGCACTTCCAGGAATTCTTCTTTTGGGGCCCAAGACCAATTCATAGTTTTCTTTGAGGCTTTGGATGTAGCAGTTTTGACTTTACTGCCTTCTGAATTTGTGTTTTGATCTTCCCTATCACTACAGGCCACATTCTTTTGTTGTTGTTTGCTTTTACTTTACGTTATAATTGGGCTCTGCTCCCAGGATGCAGGGTCATAGTCCCAACAGTCAGGTTTTTTGGGCTACTCTTTTCAGAGCTAGTTCTGAGGGCATATGTTTTCAGTTCTTCCAAGGTGGCATGATCTAAGGAGAAGTGTTCTCACTGCTCTCCTTGTCTGTGCTCTAGTCTGTGAACCACAAAAACTCTTTTCTACCCGGGAACTTTGACCAGAGTCCCCCCTTCCCTGCAGGCCATATACTTTAGTGTGCTAGTGCTCTCCCTAGGTCTGCAATTGAAAATTGAGTATGGGCATTGCACGTAATGCCTGCTGCAAACTCCTTCTGACCAGTTACCCCTTCCCCTTGCAGTCTGTGGGCTGAGCGCTCCAGAAGTCACAGCCAATGCTCATACCCGCCAAGGTCTGCTGGGGCCGGTGCTGGACTACGCTCCACTCTCACTCCATTCAAACAGACGTTTCCTGCTAACCTAAGTCATCTTGGGCTAAAAAGTTGTCCTACCCCATCCTTTCGTGGGTTCTCTTCTCCAGAATATATTTTGTTTTAAAGTTGTTTGGAGAGGAATTTGGGAGAGCTAAGGTGGGTCCCTACCTTTACTTTACTCTGCCTGAATCTACAACCTTGTAATGACTGTCCCTGTGCCTGAAATCCTCTCCCTCCTCAGTTCTCACTCTCCAGTCCCTTGTGTCCTGCAAGATGCTTTAGCGCCTTACTTTTTCCTTGAAGCTTTTTCTGGTCCCCGCAGCCGGCATTAGTCTTCCTCCTAAAAATTACCTTGATTAGTCCAGAAACCTGGCTTCCCGATCCATCGACCGCCTCTGGCGTCCAGCGCGATCTTGGGCAAAGGCGCCCTCCCAAGTCCTGTTCTGCTCCAGATGCTATGGAACCTGTAGACTGGCATGCTGGATGTTGTCCTTGCTACCAAACGGACCAGAGATGACCTGTATCCACGTCTTTCACTCTGCATTTTCTTGGTATTTATTTTGCGTTTTTCATACAGTGCTTTGTGTTCTGAATTTGAGTCTGAGGACCGGAGTTTGAATTTCAGCACTTCTTTCTATTACATATGCCCAAGGGCGAGTCACTTAATGTTGGGGGCGGGGGTCTCAGTTTCCTTATCTGTAATATAACAGAGCTGAACTAGACCACCTCTGAGGCCCCTTCCAGCTCTGGATTTACGTTCCTTTACGTCATTTAACTTCCGGGGGCCTCAGGCGTCTCATCTGTAAATTGCAGGTCCGAATTTAATCTAATCTACATTGGTCTCAAAATTGTTGTCTTTTCTTATACAGAGTGCAAGCTTCTTGAGGGCAGGGTTTATTTCACTCTTGCCATCTAGCTAGCAGGGGCTGAACTCCGACCGCACATGCGCAGTCCAGAATCAGCCTATACCGACAGAGGCCGCGTTGCGGTCTTACGCTCAAACGCGCCCCGGCACACCTAACAAAACCGGGGCCCTATGGCGGCGGGCGTGAGCTGCCAGAGCGCCCGCCGACCCTTCCCCATCCTCTTACGTCGTGCGTCATACATCAGCTCTCTTGATGCTCCGCCCCCTCCGGAGCCCTGACTGTTCCGCGCCCTCTCTGACGTCATCGCGCGGCGCCCCGATCGCCCCGCCCCCTGGCAACAGAACTCGCAGCGCCCCTCCCACTCCTTTGCTAGCGTCCCGCCCCCTGGCTGTTGGGGCGCGCTCGCTCCCGGCTCCCGCCTCGCTCGCGGCGGTCGGGCCTGCGAGTCGACGTCATCGCGCGGCGCCGCGCTCGCCCCGCCCCCGGCGCTCTGGGCCGGGCGTTGGCGGGCGGGGTCGCGGCGGCCGTCGGCGTCGCTCGGAGGCGGGGTCCGAGGGGCGCGTCTCCGCCCGGCCCTGCGCTGGCGAGTATGCTGTTGGTTTTCCGGGGCGCGTTGTTGTCTGAGAGTTAACAGCCGCCCCGGTGACGCGGTCTCACCCCGGAGCGCCCGGGGCGCGGCCATGCACCGGCGCGGAGGCCAGAGAGTAGCGCTCTGAGGCCCCGGCCCCGCGGCCCTCCCTGCAGGGATGTTCAAAAATGAGTACCAGGTAACCGGGAGCCCCCGGCGCCGCCCCCGCCGGGGCACCGCTCGTACACGTGGGGAAACAGGCCCGGCCCGGGCGAGCGAGGTCACGGGGAGAGCCGGGATTGCGCCGTACACGTGGGGAAACTGAGGCCCGGCCAGGCGAGGGGCAGCAGAGCGGGGACTGCAGGAAGGGACCGTCTTACATGTGGGGAAATTGGGGCTCAAGGAAGTGAAGCGAGCGTGTGGAGGCTTCCGGAGCCCAGGACCGAAGGGCCCAGAGCTGAAAAGCACCAGGGGAAACTGAGGCCCGGGAGACGTCTCAGTAAATAGCGGGGCTGGCATTTGAACCCAGCTCCAGCGAGGCCCAGCCCGACACCCCTGATTTTACCTCCTGAGCGCCTGGGGGTACAGAGAAAGGCAACAGCAGCTCCCTGCCCCATAAAAACAAACCCAGCGCCGCCCCCATGGTGCCAGTGCCTCAGTTTCCCCATCTAGGCAGGGAACTGGGTCCGAAGTCACAAGCAGGAACCCCAAACCTGCTAGTGTTGGGTGCCCGTAGGACCGTGGATAAGTCACCGCCCGTCTGGCCTCGTGTCCTCTTCTGTAAAAGGAGAGGGCTGGGCTCTATCATCACATTTAAGAGGCCAGCCCTTTGATTTTACAGAGGAGAAACAGACCTGGAAAGGGCGCCCAGGTGGCCGAGCTGGCGAAGTCTGGCACTGGGGCCTAGGGGAGCGGAGCGTGAGTCCGTGACCTCCGTGTCCCATCCAGCTCTCAAACCCGGGGTCCTGCGATCCTGGCCTTACCCCGCGTATGGTTTTGTGCTGCCCGCCTGATCCCGGTTGCTCTTCAGACTTCCCGGAACGAGCCGCCCACCTGTCTCCATCTCTTTGGTGTATCTGCCTCTTCACCAGCACCACCTGGCTACCTTTGCAAGCCTTCCAATTATACTCTTGAGAATGGGCCCATATGCTCATTCTTTTCTTGTGTGTGGATTGTAAAAGCAATACTAGAGGATTTTTTGTTTTGTATAGCCTAGTGTGTTCTTTAAACTTGTAATTCTACCGCAAATCCAATATTGAAAATGCAGTATTATCCACTCCATATAACAGCATCAAAAGAGGGAGAATTAAATTTCCCAATTCCATTTCCTCTCATAGTTGTTTCTAACTTTTATCTTAAAATGACCAGAAAAATTTCACCTTGGGGGAAAAAAAACCTTCTATCTGAAAGGACAGATAGAGCTTAAAAGATTTATTTAGTCAGCAAGCCTTTATTAAGTACTTATTATGTGCCATTAAGTTCTTATAATAGACACTTCTCTTTCTCAAAGGTAATTATCATTCAATGTTTAATTCCTGTGATTTATAATTAAAAACGTAGATAAGTCAATCAACATCCCCCCTACTTTTACCCCTTAGGCTTCTTAAGGGGAATGTAGATTTTACTGAGCTCTGACTGCTTTTTTACACATCTTTGTATAGAATTGAAAAAAGAAACAGTCATATCCTTTGTTGGTTGGTCATTGCTTTGGAGGAAGACTAGAAGCACTGTTCTGTATGTAATTGAAGAAGAGAACTTTGTCTAAGAATGGGGTCCAGAAATAGACTAAATGTGCATTTACTCCATTAAGAAGCAGGTTTGTAGAAGGCACGGACTCAGCTACTAGCAATGCCTTGATCACATCCTTCTGATTTGGTGGTGGGCTCTTTGAGGATGAGCCTCTCAGAATAGCCCTCTTACGCTTGGAGCTTTGCTAGCTTGGCAGCACCTGCCTGATATAGGGCTCTGTAGATGGCTTAGGGTCAGTTGATGCCACTGTGAGACATTGAGCAAATGCATGTGAACATGATAAATCCCTTAAGCTAGCTGCTGGATCTTGGATCTCAGCAAGTTTTACTAATTGGAATGAATGAGAAATACATTTAAATGCTTTAGTAGGAATTTCTAAGGTCAGGATGGCCTCTCTTCCTCTTCTCCTATTGCTTAGTTGTCTGCTGCTGTCTCCTCCTTTATCCCTATCTCATATGGGGAGGTGACCTAACTCCTCACCAACGTTCGTCCCACTTGCACAGATGATCCCATTCCATCCTTTCTCCTCCAACAGATTGCCCCCTTTGTCATTCCTACTATCTGTCTATTGGCTCACTCCCTACTAACTATGAAAATGCCCATGTCTCCCCCATCCTCAAAAACCCTGACTTGATCCTTCCATTCCTGCTGTCATCCCATATCTCTTCTGCCCTTGGGTCTCCACTTTCTCCCCTCTCACTCTCTTCTTAACTCCTTAGAATCTGGCTTCTGACCTCTTCCTTGCACTTTTGTTTCACTCTCTCCAGAGTTGCCAGTGATCTCTTAATTGCCAATTCCAGTGTCCTTTTCTCAGTCCTTTGTCTTCTTGACCTCCCCTAGTTCTCTTCTGACCTCTCTGACCACTCCTGGTCTCCTTGGCTGGATTCTTATCCAGGTCACACCCTCTAATCGTACCTCGGGGTTCTGTCCTAGGTCCTCTTCCTCTTTACTCCTTCCTTGGTGATCTCGTCAGCTCCCGTGGATTTTATTACTACCTCTGTGCTGATGATTTTCAGAGCTACCTACCTTAACGCTCTTTGCTGGCCTCCTTGCAGTCTTGCATCTCCAACTGCCTTTCTGAACTTGAGATGTTCTCTAGGATTCTATGTCTTGAACTGGGTGTTCAGTAGATATTTTAAACTAAATATGTCCAGAGTGGAACTCATTATTTTGCCCCCTAAACCCTTTCCCCCATCCCCCACCTTCCTTATGCATGTGGAGGGCAATGCTTTTATCCCAGTCCCTCAGACACACAACCTAGTAGTCGTCCTGGGCTCCTCACTTACTCTCGCCTCTATATCCACACTGTTGCCAAGGCCTGTTGATTTCACTTTTGCCCCCCTATATGTCCCCCTCCTTTGACATGGCCCCCACTACGAGGGAGACCTTCATCACATTATGCCTGGACTATCGCAATAGCCTCCTGGTGGATCTTCCTGCCTCAAGTCCCTCCACACTCCAATGCCTCCTCCATTCAGCTACCAAAGTGCAGGTCCAGCCATGTTCCCCCATGCCCATCCCCAGCTCAGTCAATTCTAGGGCCTCATTTCTCGCCCCAGAATCTGCTTGGTGCTTAGAGCCCTCCACTGCCAGCTGCCCAGTCTTCTAGGAGGAACTAGGCTGTATCTTTGTGATGATGGCTTTCTCTCCTACACATTCGCTAGCTGTTCTCTAAATATCACATTCTCAGATGTTTGTCCTGCCCTTCCTCCTTGACTTTGGTTGACTAATCACATAGGTTAGTTTTTCTGCCCTTGAGGTGACTTAAGATCAGCAAGGGTAGCTAAGTGCCCTTCTGTTTCCTGCCTACTCTGGTTATCTGCTCTCCTTTGGGCACCAGGGTTCGGTCCTTTCTGGTCCCACCATCGACTGAAGCAGCATAAGGCTTAGAGCTGCTCTCCCCTCTCTGCACTTACATATTTCATTCTTTCATGGGATCCCAGCCTTTCTTTCACCTTTTCTACAATGTGCCTAAGAAACCTCATCTTTTTGTTGTTATTACATTTCTTTGCTACCTTCATGTATTCATAACCCTAAATTTTTGACATTATTGATCCAGCACCGTGACATGCAGGTTATGTTTCATATCCATCTCCTGCCCTTCTTTTCATCTTTAGGTGTCTTTAAAAAAAAAAACACAACTTCATTAGTTGATGAGTTCCCAGTCATCCTCACCACTCTCCTTAAACTCTCTCCTTGTTTCAAACTCATTAGAATTGTTTCACTGTCTTCAGGATTTCACTCTTGAGGTCTTGCCATTCCTTCTGGGTTGACTTCACCTATAGAATTTGTCTGCCAAAATCTACTTATGTTTCACTTGAACCTTTGATATCATTTCTACATTTGTCTAGAGTGTACATGACCTTGTGCCTAGCTTTCCTCTCCACTATCACAATCTCTTAAGAGAGGGACTAGTTGCTTCCCCACAAGGTTGCCATCATTTCTATCCAGAAGCCAATTGTTCCTTGTTAATGAGAATCAAATATAGAATAGATTTCCCCCTTGTTGATTTTTCTACTTTATCATAGATGAAATGATCAGTAACCAAGATAAGAAAGTATTAGCTGCTCGTGTTTGACCAATAGGTTGTCAGCAGGATCTGACTGGTTTCCTGTCACCGCTGTATTATCCCTCTGTGCCAGGCTCCTGATGTTTCCTGAACTCGTACATTCTCTTTTTCTGTCCAAGTGGTCTGTAGTATATTCTCTCGACCAAAATTGCTTCTTTTTAACCTGTATTTGATGTACATATAAACATTCTCCACCAAGCGTCATCCTCTGCTGGTTCCTGGATTTCCTGACAGTTACATATCTTTTTAAAGAGTAAGCCTGACCCTGTAACAGGTACATACAGTAAAACACATTCACATATTGATCATGTCTGAAAACATATGTCTCATTCTGCATCTCTTGTCCACCACTTCTCTGCCAAGAGTTGAGATGTGAGCTTCATTTATCTTCTGAAGTCATGCTTGGTCATTTCATTGATCAAAATTCTTACATATTTCAGAGTTGTTCTTTTCATCACCATAGCCATTGTGTAAATTTTCTCCTGTTCTCACTTTGATTTCCGTCAGTACCTGCAAATCTTCCCAGTACTCTCGAATCTGTTCATTCGTCATTGATTGTAAGCTCCTTGAAGGCAGGAACTTTCTTTTGCTTCTTTTTGTATCCGCAGCACTTAGCACAGTGCCTAGCATACGATAGAGGATTAATAAATGTTGATTGATTTTTTCTTCTATGACAGTAACATTTCATTATACCATAATTTGTTCACCTGTTCCCTGGTTTGGTTGGCATCCACTTTGTTTCTGGTTCTTTCCTGTAATAAAAAGAGTTGCAACAAATATTTTTGAAAACATGAGTTTTTTCTCTCCACCTTCTTTCCCTTTTTGATGTGTCAGTGTCTGCCTGGGTCAAAGAGTAGGCACAGTTGACTTTGGGTGTAGTTCTAACTTGCTTTCTAGGAAGGTTGGATCAAGTTCACAGCTTCCCCAGCAGTAGATTAATGTGCTTCTCATCCCATTTCACTTCTGCATTTGCCATTTACCTTTTTTATTAAATCATCATTGACAATCTAATAGGTATAAGGTGAATCTCAGAGTTGCTTTTCTTTGCATTCCTCTTATTTATTAGTCACTTGAACCATTTTTCATATGACTATTGATAGCTTACATTTCTTCTTTTGAAATCTGCTTGTTCATATCCTTTGAGCAGTTTTCTGTTGGGGACTGGATTTTGTATTTAAGTATTTATGTCAGTTCCCCATTTTTCTTGGCTATTAGATGTTTATCAGAGAAATTTGCTGTAAGACTTTTTTTTTGTCTTAACCAATATATCATCTGCAAAACAATAATTTTGTTTCCTCTTTATATTTATTCCCTCAGTTTCTTTATTTTCTCTTATTACAATAGCTTGCACCTCTAGAACAACATAAAATAATAGAAATAACAGTACAAATCTTTGCTTTATCCTTCATCTTTTCCAGTCTTGTATTCATTGTCTTCTTTTGAGATCTGGTTGTCCCATAGGCATCTCAAGCTCAACATTTTCAACACTGAACTTATCATTCTCCTCTAATCTGTACCTCTTCCAAACTTTGCTGTTTCTATCAAGGGTACCACTGAGTCCACAAGTAGCCCTCTAGGTCCTCAAGTGTGGCCCTTTGACTGAAACCAAACTTCACAGAACACATCCTCTGAATAGAAGGATTTGTTCTGTAAAACTCATTCAAAAGGCTCAGGGACCTAGAAGGCCAGGTGAGGCCCTCAGGTTCCTCACCCTGGTCAAGAATGACACCGATCCTCTGGGTTCTCACTCTCCTTCACATTCTCAGGCTAGAGTGTAATCTGCTCTAGGATGGGGAATTTTGTTTTTATATCTCCCATGCTTGGTCAGGTTCATGGCACATCATATATGCTTAATCAATACTTGTTAATTAATTTGTCATTGATTGTTTATTTACCTTTATTTTGTAGGGGGGGCCATTTGTTGAAATCTTCAGTGCCCAGGGCAAAAATCCTGGAGCAAAATGGAAGATCTTTGGCAGTCCATCTGTAATTTGGAAAGTATGTATTATAATTTAAATGTAATTTCAACCTATAATTTCAGCCCATTTAAAATCATATATGAATGTTAAGAGTGAAAGATAAAAGCTATATGTGACCTGATTATAAGATAACTTATTACTTGTATTCTAATTTCATAATCGATGATTATTTAAATTTAACTTAACTTTTCAGACTTTGCGCATTTGAAATTAGATTCATCATACTTATTGTACCTTGTATACTTTTATTGTAATAGACCCAGATAAATTTTGTTTATTATGATTTTGTTAGTCAGTGGTATCCTAAATCACCTTTTAAGATATTTGTATTCTTCATCATAAGGAAATTTGATAGATCAAATAAACTTTAGGACTTTTCAGTCCTAAATATATCATGTTAGTTGGTCACACAACTAGTAGCAAAGAGTAACATTGCAATTTTCTTTCATTACCTCAAGGATTAGTATAGTTACACCTTCCACAGTGCAGATTGCAACTAATATCTGCCCTAGTCTTTGTGAGTTGGTAAAGTCAAAAGTTCAATAACCAGTTCAACCCTCTAGCAGTGAGCTATTCCATGCTGAACTTATTTAGTCTTTGTATGATAAGCACACAACCCATTGCCTACCCTGTATCGTCTGAGAACCTAGAGTCATCCAAATCAGTTACAGTTTGAAGTGAAACCTCCTTGGGCTTCCTTATTCCTGTTCTACTAAGTGTAGATAACCTAGAGTAAAGGACAATTAGGATGAATTAAATTTTAAGAGCTTCAGGTTGGGAATTAGATGGTTTCCAGCAATGGAAATGTTGTGGTAGCATGGGAAAAAAAAAGATTCTGACATCAAAAGAGAGATCATCCAGTCATGCATAATGCAGGAAGACCTAGTTTAATTTTTGTACTTTTTAAAGAACTTGGCCTCCTGTGGAAACAGAACCACACCCTTCTAATTTCAGCTCATTTTATTGAGGAATTTTGTCTGTGGATTTGCATTTTTGGTTTTATAGTGAAATTCAAATGGAAATATCCTGTTTGGTTACTTTGTCTTTTACATTCTCTAGGAGTTTGATAAAGAAGTTAAAAGTTTTGTCTTTGTCCTTGAAGGCAGTAGCCAGACCAACAAAATTCAGTTACCGAAGGAGAATAAACAAATTCGTAAGTATTGCACCAGTAAGCTCAATATTGCATTCCATTTCTTGGTTATTGTTCTGCTTTGTCCACTGAGAGACAAACATATTAATATGGAATTGAATTCATATAGTTGATTTCAAGGAGAATCATTTTTCAGAAAGTTTGCCATGACTAGTGAGCACTTTGTAATTAGGCTAGACTTGGAAATGTTTCTCAAGCAAGAGCTAAAAATTAAATGGAAATTTCCTTGTATGGAAAAAAAATGTGCGAAATGCTAAATTTGGGATTACTTTGCATTAACTTTTAAAGAGAATAAATTGTGCTAGGCATGAGGTATACAAAGACAAAAATGAAATACTACCTGCCCTCAAGGAACTTACATTGTAACAGTATAGATGGCAGACTTTCCTGGATTGTTTGACTGAATGTTGATATTCTTCACAGTATTATGTCAGGGATTACTGAAATTCCAACTCCACGCAGGTCTTCCTCCTCCCACCACCATTATATATTAAATTATTTATGTCAGTTTTTCTTCAAAGTTTCTGTGATTTTTTTGTGTATGACTTTTACTTCCTGCAATGCAGATCACAACCCTCTCTCCCTTTAGAGATAATTTTATGAGTTGCTATGGACAAAAAAAATTATCACCTAATGGCCAGCCTCTTGTGATGATCTTCAGCTACTCCTTGGATGACCATCTGTCTGTTACTGGACATTTCCAGCTTGGTAGAATCTTACCAGATGTTATGCTTTGTTGCTGTAGGCTTGAAGTAGCCAGGTTCACTTCCATAATAATAATAACAACAATTGGCATTTCTTTTGCATTTACTATGTGCCAGGTGCTGTGCTAAGCACTTTGCAAATATTATCTGCTTTGATCCTCACAAAGGGAGGTAAGTGGTATGATTATACCCATTTTAAAGATGAGGAAACTGAGGCAAATGGGACTAAGTGACTTGCCCAGGATCACATAGCTAGTAAGTGTCTGAGGCAGGGTTTGAACTCAAGTCTTTCTGACTTCAGCCCTGGTGCTCTACCTGCTGTGCCACCTAGCTTTCACAACACCATGAGGCATCAGAGTAGACTTGAGTGCATAGGATGAAATTACATATATATATATATGTATATATATCTCAAAAATATGTATTACATTTGGCAATATTTTAATATGAAAATAGGCTTTAGTTCAGTTCCACAAGAATTTGTTAGGTAGTATTCTGTCAGTCAATTAAAATGGATTTATTAAGCACCTACTTAGGTGGCAAGCATGGTGCTAGCTGCTAGAGATACAAAGACAGTGAGCTTAAAGTCTATTAGGGGAAAGGACAGACACACAAGTAGATAGGATATGGAGGCAATTGTGATAAGTCTGTGAAATTTGCGGTGGAAGTCCTAATATTCACTTGACAGTAGGGATGAAGTGTCAGGGAAGGCTGATTTAGCCTTTGGAAGAAGGGAACTGGAATAGGGAGGAGATGACAGAAGATCTGTTTTAGGCAAAATGAGCCAAGGCATGGAAATGATAAAGGACCGGGGAGTAGTAGTACCAGGAGTACAGTTTGGCTGAAATCTTGAACACGTGAAGGAGAATCGTAGTCAGTAAAGCCAAATATTTAGGTTGGTGTGCCACAATCAGGAGTCGATACTTTATTATGAGGAGTCACTGAAGGTTCTGGAGTAGACAAAGGAGATGATGTTAGGAATGGTAGAAATGGGTTAGGAATGGATGATAGATTCGAGTCAGGAGGATGAGTTAGGTATTCCTTAAAATAGTCTAGGTCATAAGAGTTGAGGTCTAAAATACAGTAGCTGTAGGCTTAATTCTATTTTATTTTCAAATACTTCTGACTACTCTTTGTGTAAGGAGTATTCCATTGCCTAAAGCCTCTTCTGCACCCACCCCAGACTAACATTTGTGGATTCTGTCAATACAGGGTAGCTCAGCAGCTGAAAACTGCTGTAAGACCTTTGGGCTACCTTGTATATATCAAGCTCCAAATTGTTGCATGGCCACATTTTTTGGGGGAAGTGATACTTTATAGGAATCCATCAATCATAATAACCTAAAAAGAAAATTTAAATGCATATTTAATTTTGACCTTTACAAAGTCCTACTCCTATCTCTCATTGTAGTATGAAACCAACCCTAGATTTTTTTTAAGCCTCCTTTTTTTTAAAATTTGGCTAGTCAGTGGGGTTAAGTGACTTGTCCAGGGTCACACAGCTAGTAAGTATTATGTGTCTGAGGCTGGATTTGAACTCAGGTCCTCCTGAATCCAGGGCCGATGCTCTATCCACTGCTCCACCTAGCTGCCCCCAACCCTAGATTTTTTTAAAAAAATTATTAATTTATTTTGACTTATCAACAATCACTTCCATCAGCTTTTGAGTTTAAAATTTTTCTCCCTCTCTCTCCCTAAGATGGCTTGCAATCTGGTATAGGCTGTACATATACGTTCTTATTAAACATATTTTCACATTAGTCATGTTGTAAGGAAGACTTAGAACCAGTAGGAGGCACCATAAGAAAGAGGAAACAAAACAAGATAGAAGGAAAAAAATAGTAAATAGCATGCTTCCATCTGCATCCAAACTCCATAGTTCTTTCTTTGGATGTGAATAGCATTTTCCATCATGAGATTTTTGGAGATGTCTAGATCCTTGCATTGCTGAGAAGGGCTAAGTCTATCAGTTAGTCATCACACAACATGGCTGTTACAGTGTACAATGTTCTCCTGGTTCTGCTCATTTCACTGAGCATCAGTCCATACAAGTCTTTCCAGGTTTTCCTGAAGTCTGCCTGCTCATCATTTCTTATAGCGCAGTAGTATTCCATTACATTCATATACCACAACTTGTTCAGCCATTCTCCAGTTGATGGGCATCCTCTCAATTTTCTTTCGTTTTTTTCTTTTTTTTAAGGCAGTTGGGGTTAAGTGACTTGCCCAGGGTCACACAGATAGTAAGTGTCAAGTGGTTGGTCTGAGGCCGGATTTGAACTCAGGTCCTGCTGACTTCAGGGCTGATACTCTGCGCCACCTAGCTGCCCCCATCCCCTCAGTTTTGAATTCTTTGCCACCACTAAAGAGCCGCTATAAATATTTTTTGTATGTGGGTCCTTTTCCCATTTTTATGATCTCTTCGGGATATAGCCCTAGAAATGCTATTGCTGGGTCAAAGGGTATGCACGTTTTTATAGCCCTTTGGGCGTAGTTCCAAATTGCTCTCCAAAATGGTTGGATCATTTCACAACTCCACCAACAGTGCACTACTGTTCCAATTTTCCAACGTCTCCAACATTTATCATTTACTTGTTTTGTCATGTTGGCCAATCTGATAGGTGTGATGTGGTACCCTCAGAGTTGTTTTGATTTGCATTTCTCTAATCAGTAGTGATTTAGAGCATTTTTTCAAATGACTATAGATAGCTTTAATTTCTTCCTCTGAGAACTGCCTCTTCATATCCTTTGACCATTTATCAATCAACCCTAGATTTTCAATTTCAAAGGTGATATCACTGGGGCACCATCTCTGACAGGTTCCGACATGCTGAAAAGAAGTTAAGGACAGCCTGAGGAACAGACTGAGTCTGCTGTTTGAAGACCAATCTAGCTAAGCCCAGAAACATTTATCACCATTTGTATGTGGCAGTCCATGGGAAAAAAAATACAAAATGGCTCTCTGCCCTATGTGGCCCTCTTTCCATTTCTGCAACAATGGCATAGTGATGGAAAGGAGAGGAGAGGGTGCTTAAAATAACCATTTTTAGATCATCTATAAATAAACATTGACTTAAGTGTAGGTACTCTAACTTCAAGATTTCTTATTCACTGACCAATGAATTGACAAAAATAGAAGGACTGAACCACCTCAGTGTCAATATTCTCAAAATAAACTAGAAGATGACAGGAAATTGCATCTAAATGGATGTGACTACCCAATAGAAAAGCAGTCAAGGGTTATGAACAAACAGTTTTCAAGAAAAGAATCTTGGGGGCAGCTAGGTGGCGCAGTGGATAGAGCACCGCTCTGAAGTCAGGAGGACCTGAGTTCAAATCCAGCCTGAGACCAGACACTTGACACATACTAGCTGTGTGACCCTGGGCAAATCACTTAACCCCAATTGCCTAAAAAAATTTAAAAAAAGGAAAAAAGGAAAAGAATCTTGGACTTTTAACACCATATGAAAGAATGCTCCAGATCACTAATAATAAGAGATATGTACGTCAAAAAAATTGGCAAAGATGACAAAAGAGGGAAGAGTCAGTGTTGGGGGGGGATGTGGAAAGACAGGAACGCTAGTAGATTGTTGGTAGAGATGTGAATCAGCATGACTGTTCTGAAATTATGCAAATAAAATGACTAAAATGTCCATGCCCTTTGACCCAGAGATTTCACACTTAGGCTTATACCCCAAGGAAGTCATTGACAAGAAGAATAATACCATATGCACCAAAATATTTATAGCAGTGCTTTTTGTGATAGCAAAAACGGTACGTGAATGTATGTAATGTTGGTGCAGTGTGAGACATGACAGAGGTGATAGATACCAAAAAGCACAGAAATACCTGTAGGAACTGATGAAGAATGAAGTAAGCAGACCTCTCCTTCCCCCATTTACAAAAGGATAACCACGATGTAATGGAAAGAATGATCTCCAAAAACATCCCAAGTGAAAGCTGCAGAATTAGAACAAAAATGGCTCCACAGAAGAGATATGAGAAGACCTTTCACCCCCATTCCTTTGTAGATGTGGGAGGACCACAAGTATGGTCCATTGCATATATTTTTAGACTTTTGTGATGTATTGATCAATTTTGCTGATTTTTTTTCCCATTCTTATGTTTTTAAAAATATTTGGTATATGAGATGGCTCTCTGGGAGGGGGAAAGGAAGCAAAAGTGGAGAAATACATTAATCAAAATTTATTTTTTTAATGATATAATTAATTTCATCATACACTTAAGGGCAAGAGAAATGAAATAACATGTTCTTGTGATATGTACAAGCAAAAAGACTAT